ACACACGTAAAGACGCACATAAGTCGTATTTGAATATTTCATAATGTGCTTCCTGTGCGACAGTGAAATACGATATATGTAAGGATTTTAAAATGTCTTCATTCCAAATTTTCTTCTTTTATTTTGCTTTTCCTTTACATTTTTTTCCTATAAAATGGCAGGAGTTCAGATCAATAGCTTGAAGTTGAACCCCCCCCCCTCCGCTCAGACGAAACCCTAAATTATCTGCAGTTTTACGATAAAGTGTTATCTTCACTTTGAGTTTTATCGGAACAGGTGTCTACTTCTATTCGTTTTGACGCCATCTTTTCTTGATATCATTTTTACACTTTTTTTTTCATCTTTTTCGTTTGTTTACATTATTTGCAGTTATTTGCAACTTCATTCTTTCATGTTTTTAAGTAGTCTTCTTCATCTCTTAATATCGTCGTTTTCCGAATTGACCCTATCGTTCCATTTAGCTTCTCATTTTGATATCTGTTCATTTTGTTCTAAGATTGTTATAAGATTTTCCCTCTATTTCCATCATAAAGTGATCTTTATCGCCTTTCAATCGTTCCCTACCTTTTCAAGCTGTCTTCCTCTATCCCATGTACCTTCAACATTTTCACCTGTCTCCATCTTTTAAAATGGTATCCATTGCCTTTTCATCGGTCCCTATCTTTTCAAGCCTCCTTCCTCTATCCCAAGTGTCCACAACATTTTCACCTGTCTCCATCTTTTAAAGTGGTCTCCATTGCCTTTTCATCGGTCCCTATCTTTTCAAGCCTCCTTCCTCTATCCCAGGTGTCCACAACATTTTCACATGTCTCCATCTTTTAAAGTGGACTCCATTGTCTTCTCATCGGCTCCTATCTTTTCAAGCTGTCTTCCTCTATCCCAGGTGTCCACAACATTTTCACCTGTCTCCATCTTTTAAAGTGGTCTCCATTGTCTTCTCATCGTACCCTATCTTTTCAATTTGTCTTCCTCTTTTCCAGGGTGCCTTAGCGTTTCCGTTTGTCTCCATCATTTAAAGTGGTCTCCATCATCTTTCCACCTGTCCCCATCTTTCCCTGGCGTCCTCAGCTTTTCCGTCTATCTCCAGCTCTGAAAGAGGTCTTCATCATCTTCACATCAGTACCCATCTTTTCAAGTATCCTTCCTCATTCCCAGGCGGGCTCAGAGTTTCCGTCTGTCTCCATCTCTGAATGCGGTCTCTTTCGTCTTCACTTCGGTCCCCATATTTTTAAGTTGTCTTTTTTTCCAGTTTCTCCTCAGATTTTTCTTCATCTTTTAAAGTGGTCTCCATCGTCTTTACACCGGTCTCCATCATTTCAAGTCGTCTTCCTCTAACCAAACTATGATCAACCTTTTCGTCTGTCTACATCTTTTTAAATTGGCTCACATTGCCTTTCCACCAGTCGAATTGTCTTTTAGCTCCGGTGTACTCAGCCTTTTCGTCGGTCTCCATTCTTCTCCCACTGGTCCCCATCTTGTCTTCCTTTTTTTGATGTATCCTCAGGTTTTCCGTTTGTCTCCATATTGAAAAATAGTCTCCATCTAGGTGTCTTCCTCTATCACACATGGCCTTAGCTTTTTCGTCTGCCTCCACCTTTTTAAAGTTGTCTCAGTCGTCTTTACTCCAGTCCGCAACATTTAAAGTTGTCTTTCATTTGACCCAGAAATATTTCGTCTGTCTCCATCTTTTTAAGTGGTCTTCATTTTCCTACCACCGGAGCAGAAGTTCTCTCCCTCTTTCTCATGTGTCATCAGCTTTTCCGTCTGTTTCCATCTTTTTAGGTGGTCTCCATTGTCCTCCCATCGGTCCTCATTTTTTCAAGTTGTCTTCTCGGGTATTTCTTGTATTTCTTGTATTTCTCGGGTGTCGACATCTTTCCCATCTTTTCCATCTGTCTCCATCTTTTAAAGTAATCTCAATCGGTTCCCCATCCGTCTCCATCTGTTAAATTTGTCTTCCACTTCTTCATATCCTCACTTTTTTTCGTGTGTCTCCATCTTTAAACAGATCTCAATCGTCTTCCTATTGGCGCTCATCTTTTCAAATTGTCTTCCTCTTTCTCAGGTCTTCTCAGCTTTTTACGTCTGTCGACATCTTTTAAAGTTTTCTACATCTGTTTCAGTTCTCCTTATCTTTTTGTGTGTCCTCATCTGTTCAATCTATAACCATATTTTTTCAGTTATCTTCATCTTTTCCGTTTCTCTCCGTCTTTTCTCGTTCTCTTCATTTTCTTTTTTTTTTTTTTTTAGTTTTCCTCATTTTTTTTTTCTGTCTATCCATATCTGTTCATCTTTTATCTTCATCTTTTTTCAGGTGTCCGCATCTTTTCCTACTGTCTTCAGATTTTCGTGTTTTCATCTTTCTCTGTTGTTCGCATCCTTTCCGTCTACCTCCATCATTTTAAATTATCATCACCTGTTTCAACTCTCCTCTTCTCTGTCTATTGATGTTTGTTCAGTTCTTTATTAGCTTCATTAATAGAGTGACTTTATGGAAATCTTGCCTATCAATCGAAAATCAAGTTTAAGTACCCCAAAAATTGGAGACCATGTTCTCAAAATACACATTTCTCAGTCTCTGTAATTCTGGAATGATATTAGAATAAATTATTTTTAAAAAGATATCGTTTCTTGCAAGATTTAATGTCGAAAGTACGAAACTTTGAATCACATTTAACAACATATGGCCAAGATAATTCCATTCGACAAGATTTTGTTTTAATCATCTCACTCCAAAGAAGGCACTAAAGCCACTAAGACACAAGGGGCTCCTGAATATACGAAAATATGAGAAAAATAGACTATTAAGGAGTGAGGATAACAAAATACCAAGAATTAAGAAGACAGAAGATATTAATTAACATTGAATTTAAATTTTTGAAGATCAAATTTTATTGGAAAGCAAGAAGCCGGAGGAGAGTTCCACATGCGAGAAGTGCGCGAGACAAAGCTTTTTGTAGAGAACTTATGGTTAGATCTCGCAGTTGCATCTATAAAACGGTGAGACCTAACTGACAATCTAGTACCGCGCTTTAATTCATAAAGTCGAAGCATGAGAGATGAAAACTCATTAGAATAATTACGATGTGAATATTTATAGAAAAGGCACAGGGACGCTACATGAGCTTAGCCTGCATCGTCATTGTCAGTAGACTAGCACGGGAAGGGAAAAGCCTCTTCGAGAAACTGGCAATTATATGGTTGTAATTGAAGAAACTGTGTTTTGTAGGGTGAGAAACCCCGAGAGAAAAACGCGGCCATTATCATTATTACTTAAAACCAAGGAGCAGTAAATACTTACAGGATTAGCACCTTGGTAAGAAAAGGTAGAGGGAAGCCACGTTACGGCATTGGAAAGGCACTGAAGCCGAGATACCAATCTAGTACTATATGCTTCAATTCATGAATTTGATGCACCAATGAGGAAAACACATCAGAACACTTGACATAGACAGGCACAAGGAGGCTACGTTACGAAGGCGGGATATGAGTAGATGAGATGAAAGAGAAAGGAAGGTGACAGATGATAAAAATTGAATATAAATTTTTGAACATCAAAGTTTATTGGGAAGCAAGAAGTCGGAGGAGAGTTCCACAAGCAAGAAATACGAGAGAAGAAACTTTTAGTAGAGGACTTATGGTTAAATCTAGCAATTTCAGCTGTAAAAAAAAATGAGACCTAGCTGCCAATCTAGTACAGCGCTTAAATTCGTAAAGTCGAAGTACGAAAGAGGAAAGCTCATTAGAACAATTACGATGTGAATATTTATAGAAAAGGCACAGGGACGCTACATGAGCCTAGCCTGCACCCTCATTGTCAGTACACAAGCACGGGAAGGGAAACTGGCAATTCTACGAGTGTAATTGAAGAAACTGTGTTTTGTAGGGTGAGAAACCCCAGGAGAAAAACGCAGCCATTATCATTATTACTTAAAACAAAGGAGCAGTAAATACTTGCGGGAAAAGCACCATGCTAAGAACTGAAATATTTAATTTCCTAAGTAGGAAAATAAACTGGGTTAAACCAGTTATTATATTAGACCCATGTTGAAATATCAGCCGACTTATTTGAATTTTTAATGGATTTCAAACATTGACATTCTATTTGCTGCATTTAAATTATACATCAGAAAATAAATATAGATATGTTTAATTTGTTGTAATATGTTTCTTAAATAAGTTAATTTCAACTTAAAATAACTTTTAAGAACTTGATTTAGATACACTTCTGGGGATTACATTTTCGATACTTTGATCATTCAAGTTTTTTTTTTTTTTGGTCAGGGGTATTTCAAAGTTTTAGATCTCTTGGGATTTCAATATTCTGGATTATGGTATTCGGGATTGTCTTCGAGAACATGACCAAAACCAGATTTATTTACTATATATCGATTAGAAATCAATCTTCAGTCATCCAAACTGGCAATTATATGGTTGTAATTGAAGAAACTGTGTTTTGTAGGGACCCCCCCCAAAAAAAAATCTTGAATGATCAAAGTATTGAAAATGTAATCCTCAGAAGTGTATTTAAATCAAGTTCTTAAAAGTTATTTTAAGTTGAAATTAACTTATCTCGGTGGCAAGCCATTTTTTTAATGTGCTACCACACATGTTTCGCTTATGTATGTAAATTCATAGAGGAAATATAAACGCATTTTATTAAAGTAATGTCGTCGCTGTTTCATATAAATACGTAAATTTATGTGTTGACTGATTAAATTTTCACGGCGTATCAATCTTTTACAGGTTATTTAATATCCGAAAATATTTTTAGATTATATAATTTTTTTTTTTTTTTTTTTTAGTGGAGGAGATAATAACGATTTACTGATACAAGTTCTACAAGTTAACTCATAGCTGGGGGGAGAAGAGGTGGATTAATACTTTTCCAAATGGTATTAGCGCGTAAGTGGATATAACGAACCTGAGTGGAATTGGAACTCGGCTTTCCCGTCATTAATTCCGAGCCGTTATCCATTACACCACCCGCACATTAAAGGTTACAACACGTGCTATTCCCAAGCGGTCACCCATCTAAGTACTGACCAGACTCGACGTTGCTTAAATTCGGAAATCGCACGAGAACCGTTGTTTCAACATAATATGGCCGTAAGCCTGTAAATTTATAAGTAATGTTTTATTTCATGTAAAATGCTACCACTAATATGTTTCGTTTTATCATGTAAATTTATACGCCACGTAACATTCCTTGTCGTGTTCTGCTGTTTTGAATTAGTATACAAATTTATATGTAACATGTGATTCCCAATAATATGCAAGTTTCTTCTTCTTCTTCTTCTTCTTCTTCTTCTTCTTCTTCTTCTTCTTCTTCTTCTTTGTGTCGTTCCCCTGCAGAATGTAGGCGATCATAATTCTCCACAACTTCTTTTGTAGCACTTAGCAATGTTTTTTCTATCTCTCCTAATCTATGTCCTACCAAGCATTTAAAGAAGCTCCTTAGGTAGAGTTATACGTTGCTTTCTTTCTGTTTCTCTTGCCGTCAGTATGTCCTGTGAGTGTTAAATTTTCAAAGTCTTCTTTTCTCATTATATCCGCTACAAATATCAGCTCTATCTTTCTGCGTGCCTTTCTTGTTTGTATTTTATCTAAAAAAATTCATCGTTAATCACATGTTCAATCCATATTATTCTCAGCATCCTTCTGTAGAACTATAATTCTGTTGCCTGAAGCCTTCATCTGTGAGGAGATTGTGCAGTAGTCACTGCCACATAGGAGCACTGATATTACGTAACAGTTCAGTAGTCTTTGTTTCTAACGAGATTTTCCTGTTTCATAATACTTTGCTTAGCCTTGAGAAGGCACTTTTCACTAATGCGCCTTTGGATTTCACTGTCACAATTTCCGTCCTCTACTACGCTTAAATTTGTGATTTTGGGATAGCAGAGAGAGAGGGGGAGAGAGAATGGGGGTACATACAGAGATGGAGAGAGGGGAGAGAGAAGGGAGAGAGAGGGGGGAGAGAGAAGGGAGAGAGAGAAGGTAAAAAGGGAGAGAAAGTGAGAAGAAGAGAGAGAGAAAGTGAGAGATATTGTGTTGACCCAAATTAAGCTCGTTCTGCTTTTATCGTCTGATGCTATCAGCCCATATTTATTTTAAAAGCAATTCACCCCAAACAAGACGGGAGTGCCACTAGCAAGCAAGGGGCTACAGAGGATTGAGAGCAAGAGTAAAGAGGCGTGTTTGAGGAAAGGATACGGAGAAGGTCGGGGAACAAGCTCTGGGTGTCAGATATCGATTGACATTAAACTTGAATATTTAAAGATTAAAGTTATCAGGGAATCGAGTAAGAGGAAGGGAATTTCACATACGGGAAGTGTGAGAGAAGAAGCTGTTTGAGTAGGAGAGACGGTTACATTTAGCCGTTTCAACATTGAAAAGATGGGACCGAAATGCGAATCTAGTAGCTCGCTTAAATTCATGCAGTCTGGGAACCAGAGAAAGCAACTCGTCAGAACAGTTGCCGTGAAAATATTTATAGAAGATACAGAGGGAAGCAACGACACTTCTGTGAGAAAATGACTGTAGATAAGATGCCAGATCATGACCTATTACATTGCATATCCGTCTCTGGATTTTGTCGAGTAACTCATGTTGCAATACAGAAGTAGGCAAAGCAACAGCAATAAGGGAAAAAAAACGTACCCAAACTAAGTATGGTGTTAACGCACATAAATGAAACAGACACGTGGTCGCAGGGTTCTGACTTCAAAAAAAAAAGACAGAAATATGGCAGATGAGACAGTAAAGTGGTGTCTCTTATTGTCTACGAACAAATCTCAGCATGTATTTGTACGATCTGTCTATAAATTTGGTCAAGAAGCCTTCGCAGTCCTTCCACGCAAGAGTGGAACCAACAACCAAATTGTTTGCATCCAGTTTGCATTTGTGGTTTTCTCTGTGTGCCCTACCAGCTCTGAGCTTGTGACGTCCGCCTTCTCCGCGGCCTACATAGCAACTGGCGTGGACAGATACGTCTTTCTTCTCCTCATGCTAAATAGCATCTGCTGTTCGACACGCTACACACCAGCGGCCGTCATGTGAACTTCGCGACGTCATACTAACCAAAAAGAGAGATGATCGACCTTTGCATCCCTAAACCGATGGGATCGAGATGTCAGCCTGGCAGCTCACTTAAATTCATGCATGTCTATTTTGACGTTTCTGGGCTGACACAGACGGGAAGTGCGAGAGAAGAAGCTGTTTGAGTAGAAGAGACGATTACATTTAACCGTTTTGACATCGAAAGGATCGGACCAAAATTGCATATCCGTCTCTGGATTTTGTCGAGTACCTCTTGTTGCAATACAGAAGTAGGCAAAGCAAGAGCAATAAGGCAAAAAAACGTACCCAAACTAAGTATGGTGTTAACGCACACAAATGAAACAGATGCTGGTTTCTGACTTAAAAAAAAAAACAGACAGATATTGGTATTCTCAGTATCCTTCTGTAGAACCACATTCTGTTGCTTCAGATCTTCTCTTCTTCTGTGAGGAGATTGTCTGTCACTCATCGCCATATAAGAGAACTGATATTACGTAACTGTTCAGTAGACTTTTCTTTCTTTTTTTTTTCCTAATATTCACGTTTCTCGACAATATTGCTGACATCTATATTTCTTATTAGTATGTAAATTTATAGGTGGCATGTCATTTCCTCTAATGTTCTGCTATAGACATGTCGTATAAGAATGTAAATTTATAGGTAACGCGTCATTCTCTGAAATATGTTGCCGCCTATGTTTCATATTAACATATAAATTGATATATGACATGTTATTATTTCTAATTGCCGCCAGAATGTTTCGCAAATTTATAGCCTGCAATGTTCTCTCATGTGACTTAAGCATGATTTATGAAAATGGCCAACGGTGATGATCAGTTAATCAAGAAGTATTTTGTTATCTCAATCTCATTCACGATACTGCTATCAAAATGATATTTGTAATATAGATATTTACAACGTATGGCTGATTCTGGCACAAGCCCAGTTAACGAAAATTGGGTTGAGAATTGTATAGTCAAGTTCTTTGTTGAATGTAATTGGAAGAAATGCCCAAGCAAACAGAATTGACAAAGTTTCCAATAAACAGTCAGTCAGTTATTTACAATGCGTGATACACGCGTAGGCTTTGATGTATCCTTCGATACATGCCTGACGAGGCAGATTTGTTTTTTCCGCAGTAGGTTGTCATTTCTTTCAAGGCTATAGAACCCGGTCTGTCCTGCTATTTACTCCTAGCTTGGGGGAGAAGAAGAGGATTAATACCCTTCCCAAGGATTCGACTAGAATTCGAACTTGGCTCTCTGATTTCTCAATCCGAGCTGCTATCCATTACCCTACCGTGCCTTCCAATAAACACTGACAAAGAAAAGAAAAAAGAACAGAGCATGCATATATATATATATATATATATATATATATATATATATATATATATATATATATATATATATATATATATATATATATATATATATATATATATATATATATTAGTGGTAAATATACACATACATCCGACAACATTCATTTTTCTCTCACTTAAACCACCTTTTCCCCTCACCTCCCTAAACTCTCTGTTAAGTTTTAATCTCCCACCTTCTCTCGTCTGTTACCCCTCTCTTTAGCTCTAACATTCGTCTCACACTCTCATACATACACTCTCTGTAAATTCTATTTTTATTTCCGGATTTTTTTTTCTGTTTTCTTTTTGAATTTGTAGGTCTGATGAATTGGATCGTATTTACGATTCCAATGGAATAAATTATGACCATGGAATATTAGTGTTTAAGCCTTTTTTTATATATATATATATATATATATATATATATATATATATATATATATATATTTTTAGCACATACTGTCTACTGGAAATACAAACCTGAATTTACTTTATAACATGGAAGTCTTCAAGCTTGTACGAAAATATAAGAATCTATTGATCTCCGCCTATTCCTGTAAGTAAGGAAAGGATTTATTAATGAACTGTTTAAAATTGTTCCATCGTGCCTGTCTAATATTTTGAAATCATTTTTGATTTGCTTTGTAACGTGGAGGACTTCAGGCTTGTATGAAGATATAAGAACCTATTGATCTCTGCGTATTCCTATATCAACGGAAGGGATTTCTTGAACTGTTTATATGAGAAAATAGTTCAATCGAACTTGTTTAATATTTTAATATTTTGAAATCATCTTTGAATACGTTTTCACAACATCGCCCACGTGACGACGACGTGATCATATTTAAACGGAACGCTGATCTTATATAAAAGAATTTCAGTTATCTGTTTGGATTGGTTGTGCTCTTATGTCCATCATCTTTTCATGTTGAATTTTATATGTTCTAATGTTAATTATGTTTTATGAATATGTCCTGATGATGGTCTAACATAGACGGAAACGTCCGACGTTGACTTTATATTAACATTAATACAGCATAATTGCATATTAAGATTTTTGTTTGTTTTTTCTGCATATTTTTCTTCATATATATATGTATGTATGTATATTAAAAATCAAATGCACTGCTATAGTGCGAACTAGCTATAACAAAAAACACTCACAAATATACTAAACCCATCCAAGAAAATAATCAAATAAAATTAATTATATACTACACTAAATTTAAAACCTCTAACATAACTGTCCGAAATAATACCCCCACCAAACCGTTCCTAAACAAAACCAATGTAGTCTATAGGTTTACTTGCCCGTTTCCAGAATACATCTTACGTAATAACCCTAGCACATATATCGGACACAAAACCACAACTCTTTCGCGTCGGCTCACATACCACTTCAACGACACCTAGCGCCATAAAAAAGCCATCTTCTAACAATACACAGCTTCACAAGTAACCCATTCAAATCATCCGACATGAGAAATATCTTAATTAACAACACCAAAATCCTCTATAAAAACAACTGCAAAAAACGACTACAAATTCTGGAAGCGATCTTCATCAAAAACCCAAAAACCCAACATAAATAAAATAGCATTTAAACATATTTAATCCTCCAATAAGAAAAAACATCAATCCCCTCCTTACTAATAATGAACTAACTCAATAATATCGTCTAATATTAT